GAGGCTAAGTGGCATTCACTAGGCTGAAGAATCAGAAGAGAGCCTGCTGCATTTTTAAAAAGGGCTTCTATTAAAATGACTCAAGTCAATGCATTAAGGAGTCAGCTTCAGTTACCTAGAAAACTCTGCAAAAATAATTCATTCACCAGCTCCCCGAGGTATTACTTTGTATGAGTAGATTGTGTGAGCCACTCACTCACAGGTGAGCGGCTGTCATCTTAAAATCTCAGTGGAGGGAGACAGAAGAGAAGACTTCATTATGGTCCCCAAACAGCTGGCCTTCCCAAATATGTCATTAGATGTTGGCCAGGTGTGAGGCATTAGAGCGGATTGCAGTGGTATTACGAGAAGGAAAGAAACACAGCCCTCTATAGAGCAGCAAGTCTATCGAGACTCTCTCTGCTCCATCCCTGCGCCTTTGTATTCCAGTCAGCCGTGCACATGGAAGAGCCATCCCTGTTTCTGCTCATCCCATTTCTTCTTCTTTCTTTGCAGGAAGGATCAGAAAATAATTCCTGAACCCCTGCCTAACCACAGTGTGTGGCAAACACACCGGCCATTTGCGCATCCTCTCTGCTTACCTGTTTTCAAACGTGCCTACCCTGGTCTACAGAACTCAAATCACGGAGATGGGGTTTTTGTCGTAGTCCTGAGCTGCAGGTTACCTTGCAATAGAACTGTATGTGTGTAAAAGCCCATTGGGCAAGTGTCATATTCTATATTACATTCATAAGAATATATTTTATTAGCAAGCCATTATCAAAACATCACATATAACTTTTTTATATCTAAAGCTATGGAATCATGTGCTCAGTAGTTTACATGTCAACTGTGAAAACCCAAATGGACAACTGCAGACCGTTTTTTCCCGGAGATGTCACAACACTTCATCATGATCCTGGCAAGTGTTGGTGAGATCTTCTGGATGCTGCCCCTGGGAAACTCAGGTCTCCTTTTAATGTTACAGAGGAAACAGGTCAGGGGATTCAGTCACTCAGTCTAGAGGTTAGAGAAGCTGGGAACCTTTAGACCACATCTGTAATCCTGTGGTCTTCTTCAACCCCTCTATCTCTTTTTGGACTGAGGATTTAGGAGTAGTTGTGGGTTTTCATGAGAAAATGAGCCATAAACGTGAAGTTGCTACAGAGGGACTCCCAGGTATGTGCCAACACAAGGGATATTTGCATCAAGAGAACTAGATAACACTATTCAAGGTTCCCTCCTACCACCTCACTAACAGGCCATTTTAAAGAGACACGTACCACCACATCTCTGCCTGAAACCCTCCCTTGTCCGACTATATTTTTAAGTAGTAATTTCATTCCTGTACTTTAATAGTCATGCTTTTTTAATAGTTGTTCCTTCATTATATCTTTCTTTTATTAATTTAAGATATTCCTTATGTTTTTTGGGTACATCAATGCTTTTGTTACTAGTCTCCGATGTGGTAATGGATTTACACTTTCACTTACTCTTACTTCTTTCTGTGATTTCTAGGAGTTGGCTGTATATACTCAGACTGCCATTTTCTGACTCCAGGTTTCAAACCCAGGTCCTTGGTCATGCTAGGCACACACTCCATCACTGAGACACATGCCTTTCTTAGACTTGCATGTTACAACCTAAGTGTGAATAATATTCTTTATTTTCAATTATTTGTCCATTGGAAGATTTTTTCCCAAACCAATACTTTTTATTTATTTCAGTATGTAAGTCCATAATTCAAGCCATCTATTTCAGACACTGCAACAATCTTTTGGGACCAGAACTGTGAAGTGAGCTAAATCCTCATTAGACTGCCAAAAGAAACATCACTGTAACCTTAACTTCTTATTCTTCCATTCTCAACTAACCAAAGACAGCATTTTTCCCCTCAAAATGCTGTTGGATGTTCACATTGTACTGAATGTTCCTCTTTGGAACAACTGCCTCACTTTGAGAAGAACTCAACATCTTTTTAAACAAAAGAAACACTCGAGTCCACCCAACAGATGCAGATTTCAAACTTGCAAACTCTCCAGATCTTTTAAAACTTCAGAAACAATGCCTTGCATTGAAATGTTTAAATGTCATTGCAAGCAAATACGCAAAGACAATGGTACCCATGAAGGCTGGTGAACCAAAGGCCAGAAAACAAAGCCTGGCTTGCAGTGGAGCAGAGTCCTAAAGATGAAAGAGCACAGGCAACATTTAAATTTAGAATTTGCTGGGGTTTTTTTTTCTGACACTGAATTGCAACTATTACACGATATAAAAGGTTGGGAGATGAATGAATCCCTCTTCTTTAAAAGGGAAACTCTTGCCAGTGTACCATTAGAAAGAATTGCTTCAAAACACTTACACAAAGTCAAAATTCCTTTTACGTTTCCAGGCTTCAAGAACTATATAGTTGGGATCAAATAAGTATATTCTTGGATTTAAAGCATTTATAAATACATTCAACTTTACCAAATGCATAAAAATTGGTCTCCTGGTTAGACATATTCTTGTCAATCACATGAAACCTAAATTCTCTCTGGCTTTAGACAAAAGTCACCTGGGGCGCATGTCTTTAGGAATTTGCACTATGGCTGCACTTAGATCAAACCCGAGTGCTGCGATGCCCATGGCGTGTGTTTTAATGCCCTTGTTGATGCTGTGATATTAAAATGTTAGGTTTCAATATCTGTAGTCTATCAAAAATGTTAAGCAGTTTTAATAGCATTATCTTTCTCTAGAAAAAGACAGGGATGAAAATGAATGTTCTTAATATGTGAGGAAGAAAACGGCCACTGCTTAGGTGGTGTTTCCCTTAACAAACTGTCACTCCTTTGGAGTTATCGAGATGACTGATGTCCCAAATTAGGATAAGACCTCGGGACATTATTTCTTATATGTCTACATACTTCAAATTGTTTTAGAATCTAATTTATACTCAGTCTAATGCATTTATTTTAGTGTAAAATTATATTCATTTTGACTCACTTAAAACTATTGTAACTATCATTTCACTAGAGACTTAGAACGCCCCCCCCCCCCCCATACTGCTCTGCAGTCAGTGATATCCAAAGTCCCTTATGGAACTGATGATCTGGCTTTTGCCACTATGGGTTAGTGTTTCCTGGATTAGAACTGGATTATTTAAAAGAAATCACCTGGTGTGTGTATATGTGTGTGTGTGTAGTTATACCTGTCTTTCTCCATGTGATTTTCAGATTCATCCATCATATCATGTGAATCAGTGCTTGATTTTCTGATTGTTCAACATTGGTCTACTGTTTCTACTTCACTTGTTGTGAGCGTGTTACTTCTAGTGTAAACTGTTGTGAATGAAGCTAACACATGCAGTGTATATTTGTGCATATGTACTTTAAGTATATGTTAAATATATATGTTCCACTTTACAATAAAATGCCACACTTCCTTCCATAGGGCTTACTCTGCTTCACAGTCCGGGCTGATGAGGCTGAGCTTCAGGGGCTCACTGTCTCACCAACACTTAATATTACCAGCCTATTTAACTTGGTCTTTCTAGTAACTCTATCCACAGTGTGGTTTGATTGTCATTTCTATGATAACAATGTTGAGTATGTTTGCATGTGCTTCGTTTTTTTCATATGTCAATTTTGATCATTTTTAGGTGGGCTGTTAGGGTTATATGCTATAAATACTCATATACTTGATGTCATATTTGTCAGAAATAAGTATAATTTTTATCAGAGATTGACTTTTCATTGATTTCTAAAGACATTTTAATGGAAGTAGGGTCTTTATAGAGGCAATCAAGTAACAAACAGACAAGAAGAGGTAGTTTCTATGATCCCTAAAGAATATGGCTTATTCCCTTAGAGAAATAGATAGTTTCCTCTCGCTCATAAGAAGAATGCTACTGAGGATGAAGGCAGAAATCACAGTGACACATTTACAAACAAGTCGTACCCAAGACTGATGGAAATCACCAGAAGCTAGAAAAAAAATGGGTGGAAGGAATCAGTCAAGGAAAGGAATCAGCTTGGCCGCACCTTGACCTTTGACACACCGTCTCCAACAGTGTGAAGAAATACATTTCCATTTAAGTCATGAAGTTTTTCACACTTGGCTAAGACAGCCTTGGGAAACTCAAGCAAGTCTGTCCTTTTTGTTTCCTTCTCAGAGAGAGCTTTTTGTGTTCTAGGGATCTCTGCCTTTCTCAAGGTTATGAAGATTTACTTCCCTGCTTTCTTTTAGATGTACATTAATTTTACATTACACTCAGGCATGTGTGTATTCTCCTAGTCACTGGTTTCACGTTTAGGTTTTCCAATGCCCGAGGGAGCACTTGATTCTTGGATATTCTTTAGAATAAATCACAGTTTCTGGCAACAGTGTAATATATCAGATGGCTCTGTGCCCATCCTTGAAAGCTCAGGTTGGAGCTCAAGTTTTATTTCCAAGGCGGCAAGGACTCATGTTCTTTTGATTTCCTTCCTACTAAGTCAGAGATAATGGTGACTGGTGTTTTAATACCAATTACTGGGTACCCAGTAAAGTTATGCCTGGGGTAATCCCCTACTTCTACTGCCTTCTTCCTTGCAGGGTGAACTCTGTGTGTTCAGATCCAACATGTATGGCTCTGCATACCTGTCCTGAAAATATTGAAGCAGGAGGTCCTTTCCTACTTCATGTAGAGCAATGCCAGAGTTCGCAAGGGCGTGATATCAACATCACCTTCCATACCCATCTCTGCACAAGTTACTGTCATCAACGGAAGCTACTCATCCACCCCTCCTTTCAGTTTGGAGTCAAAGGCTCTCTAAGTCATGGAAAGGACTGAGAAAATAATCTCAGTAAGTTTCATCTCCAGATTCTCTTCCTGGAACGTGGTACCCAGCAGCAGATACATAGAATGGGTTGCTTTAGAGAAGCCACATTGCTGCATTCGCATACACGGTTACTTTCTGGTTGTTGATGTTTCCTTTGCATGAGAGCCAAGCAGGCCTTTAATACACACTCTCCAAACTTTCGCATAGTAAATACCTTACCCTTGACTGACAGGTGTCTCCATGTTACCGTTGGTTCTGGTCTGCCAATCGCAAGACATAACAGAGTCACACTGCTTCCTTCATTCACCGTGATGTCTGAAGAGATGTTCATTATCTGGGGAGGAACTATAAGGAAATAGAAGAGAGAGGAAAAAAAAACACTGAGAATGATTCCTTGCACTTAAAAGAGCTTTCAGCCTTTAAATATTCATTTATCATGTTATCTGTTTGTACCATGAGTATCATTTTAATCCCACTTTGCTCATCTTGGCAAAGATCTGGCCAATGACACCATTCACAGAATGTGTATAATAGAAAAGCTCATTGTTGTGCCCTGTTGAGGTAGCTAGTAGGTGCAGGTATGGTGGTGGCATTGACAGAAAATCTGAAGACAAGGATATAACTACTTATTCATTAGACGCAAAGTAAGAGATAAATCACAAGGACCTAAAAGAGTCCTTCTCTATCCACAGGCTCCTTTCTTGTTTATACATATGACAATAGGTTCCCAGTCACAGCTTATACCCAATACCTCACTTCAAAAGCCAAGCACATTGGCTACTCACCATGTCCAAAACAATCAGACCCTCTCTAAAGCTTTGAAGTTGAACACAATATTTCTACCCAGATTTCTTTTCAACCTTTTTTTCTACGTTTTATTTTATTATTGGTGTTCAGCGGTTGTTTATTTTAAGTCTACACAAATCCATTTTAACAAATGTACAGAACTTTTAGTGATATATTGGAAAATGTGCAGGATACTAAGACTAAAATTGAATAATTGAGCATGGAGTACATACAAACAAAAAATATTTATAAAATAAAAACTTTCCATTGCTCCATCTAACCTTCCAGCCCTATTCAAATTTGGTAATTGTTTTTTCCTTTGGTTTAAGAACTTCATACATGCATTTAATGTGTTTTGAGCAAACGTACACCCCACTCACTTCTCTCTAATTTCTTTCCTACTTCCCCACTACTCTAACTTCACTGGGTGTTCTCTCTTTCTGTCTTTGTAAAACCTACTGAGTCTGTCTAGTGCTGTCCATAGATGGGTATAGGATTATCTGCTGGAGCATGGATAGCAACTTAGGGGCTATGTCCTTCAATCTATCATATTCTCTCTCTCTCTCTTAGCAGCTACCAGTTGCCAATATTTTCTGAACCTATGGTAAGACTTCAACGGCTTTCAGTTGAGATGTAAAGGTGTCCTGTTGTTATGGGAAACTTTGCCGGTAGTCATTCACTGCCTTTGGCTCTTACAGCATATTCACTTTCTCTTTTATGATGATACCCGAGCCTTGGGAGATGGTTAGAACATAAATTTCTCACTTAGAGCTGAACACCTCAGAGTCTTGTATTCTCTGCATATTCATCAGTTGTGGGTCTCTACGCTTACTACTATGTTAATTATCTACTGCTCAAACAAACTCCTCTAATGAGTGCTGAGAGATCCACTAATCTACGGATATCAAGTTAACGACTTAGGGACAAGTTTAACACTATGCCCATTTAGTAGAATAATAGTATTAAGGTCTCTCCTCTACTGCCTATGACCTAACCGCCACAAACATTTCCCCCCAGCTAACAAACAGTACTAGGCATGAATTCTACTTGTGGTTCAGGCTTCAAACACAATCAGAATATGGTCAGTTGCTTTCAAAACTTTTGGGCAACTGTTGCACCAAGGCATATATTGCTAGTTACTGTAGCTTACAGGGTTCTCAGCCTGTAGCTCAGAGGGTTCTCAATGGGGTAAGAGTATTGAATACTCTCCTCCCTTGGTATTGACAATAGAGACTTCCAGCACTATGAAAACTGGCAGGGAGGGATGAAACTTCCAGATGAGTATTAGCTTGATTTTTCTATGGTCTGTGACCTAGACATGCAGTATCTTCAGCAATAATGTTGTACCATGCAATTCTCGAGAATAAACAAGAGCAAGAATAACAGCAATACCTGTAGTGGTTTTTTTTTTTTTTTAATGAAGGGAAAGGTCTGTGACCTCAGTGATCAACAACTTAAAAAAAAGGTAACCTGCACGTGGTACATGGCTTTTTATTTGGCAGCCTATGGTGTCTGAAAGAGGCACTATCCTGCTATTACAGGATAATTCCATTCAAACTCCTTTTGTATATGTATATGTATATATTTTGGAAACTTCTAAAGTAGTAGGATTCTATATGGTATTTTCAAATGTCTTAAGTTCTTAAGTGTTAATTACCCTTTCCCATACTCCCCACTTCTACCCTGTTGTAAACAGAGACTGCTTTTTGTTCCCAACTGCCCAGACCCAAATAGTCACACAGAAACTATATTAATTACAACAGTGTTTGGCTGACAGCTCAGGCTTATTTCTAGCTAGCTCATAGATCTTAAATTATCCCATTTCTGTTCATCTATGTATTGCCATGAGGCTGCGGCTTACTAAAGAGGTTCCTGCATCTTTCTTCTTTGGCAACTATGTCTACCCGACTCTGCCTTCTTTCTCCCTGCATTCAGTTTAGCTTTTCTGCCCACCTATATTCTGCCCTGCCATAGGTCAAAGTAACTTTTTTATTAAACAGTGGTAATAAAAATATTAATAGCATAAAGACTGTGTTACCACACCTGTCTTCTTTTCTTCGTTCCATTTAACCCCTTTGTTCCATCATTACCATTCTATCTTCATACTCTTCTCATTTCTTAATCTCCAAAATCTTACTTATCCTTTAAAGCTCTGAATCTTTTTCTTGATTGCTACTAATTTTATTCTCTTTGAGACCTTAAATAAATCATTAAACTCTCCATTACTGCTGCTACCTTTCATTGAATGGCTGTTCCTTGGTTCGTGTTGAGGTTATAATCAATAAACATATTAGAAGTCGAAAATATCAGAAAGTTCATAATGCATTAAATGTACAAAGCATCAAAATTTAGCAATCCCACACAACATGGAGGATGGGTGGTTTGATTTCCTTCTTGACTGTATCACTAAACTGGAGCTATGGTTCACTACCACTGCCCAGCACATGAAAGAATTGCATACCACATAACACCAGCCTTGGAAAGCTCTGAAATCAAAATTTATATCAAGAATTCTACAATACAAGAAACCCTTTTGTACTGAACCGCAACAATTTAAGACCCACAGTAAGCCAGGACATAGCTGTACTACAAAGTGAACTATTTTTAGTACCATGCTATTCAATCAGTTAGAGGCAGGGCTCTGGGGTGCAATTTCTCACCTACTGTGTGATCTTAATTAGTAATTTGCTCTCTACTGTTTGAACTTTGGTGCCTCACCTGTGAACTGGGAGGCACTAACCTCTTTGCTGCATGACTTTAAGTGCTGTCTTATCAGAGTGTTTGATGTAAAATAAGCACTCAATATGTATTGGTTGCTATGGCAGCCACAATGCTGTGGCTGATTACAATGAAAGGGACAATAACATTGTGCAGCTGTTTTCTTCTCTAGTACCTGGACAATGTCCACGGATCTCGGGCACTTCAAGCACACTATGATTCTTCATTTTACCTTAATTACCAACTTCACAAAGACCCCAGGATAGAAAATACCTAGATCCCACCTCAACCCTTCTCATCAGTGTTTCTGCTTGGATTTTTCATGAATTCTCACTAGACAACTACAGTAGATTCTCGCCTGGAACTTTGTAATCGGTTGCTGAGCACCTCTGAGTCCATCTGACCTACCCTGTCGATGTAGACAGAAGGACCTGTTGTAGCAATAAAGGAGTCAATGTGCTCCTTTACTGACTCTTGCAGCTCTCCATGGGGTTCCAGGGCTAACACACAAACCCCTCTGTGTAAGAAGCCTCAGCAGCCTGACTACAGTCCCATATGTATAGCCAGCTACCATTCACAGAGCACACTGCAGACCACATGCCTGGGGTTACATCAAACAGATCCCCATGCCCTTGGATCATCTCAGGGCCCAGGTACCCGGAAGACTTCACAGTTCCTCCACCTTCTTCATCCTTTTCTGGGAAAGGGTTTGTTTATCTTTAGAGAACCACTCAGAAGCCACCTTCCTTCTGCTGTCCCCTTCCCTTGTCTCCAATACTAAGCCATCTTCCCTGTATCTTCTCATCCAAGCCTGCCTCGGGAAGATGACAAAGCATGCAGCATTGCAGCTACCGTGGCAACCTGTCTCTTTCTCTAGGGACCAAGTACATCACAAAAGGTGGGAGTCCTGCATCTTAGACTGGGAGGCTCTCAAGGGCATGAGATGAATTCCTCTTGAGAGGAGGATTCAGAGCACAGTTTGAACAGAATCCCAGTGCTCAGGGAGGCAAAGTTTGGAACCAGAACTTTAGGCTTCCTTCCCAATTTTTTTTTCTTTCAGATCATCATAATCAGAAGAAAGATGACAGAGAGAAGAGGCACCCAGTTTACAGTCATGTTGACTTATTTGTATTGCCACCTTAATTATGAATTATTAATTATCAAACAAACAGCTGAAGTGCTGGTAGATTCCCAAGCACCAAAATCATTGGTAGAGGAGAATTATGTTCCATTCTCACAACCCTGCAGCCCGCAGCTTCACACTGCTGAGACCTCACAGGAAAGAGTTTTCAAGGAGAAGCCATAAGTAACCAGCAGAACATTTGAACTCTCGAGGGAATCCACATTAGCAAATAAATAAAAATTGCTTAGCTTATAAATCTGCCATATTGGGGGTTATTTCTGCATTAGGAATTGCCCTGAAATTTCAGTGCATGTATTTTACCAAAATACACATAGAAAGAAAGAAAAAAAAAACCCTGCACTTTCCAACTGTACTGTATACTCTGGAGAAAATGGTTCTACCTGTTTTTCAGTATTTTCTGGCTTGTTAAAAAATAGGTCTGGGCATAGAAATGCCAATATGTATTTTCTCAGTCCTATAAAGAAACAACTTTGGTGTAGCTTCCAAATATCTCAGAATAATATCTGCTTTAGGGAGAAGTGCTAGGCCATCTTAAGGCCTCTTTAGGAAGACCCCCAGAGTCTCTCTAGAAGGAATACCGACACTGCCTGGGCAAGCACAGTTGTATTCATGTGTAGTGACTTAAGAAGTCACAGCCATGATACCTTGGGCTGGGACTCCCGGCACAGCATCCAGTATCGAGGTACCATTTTTACTG